ATGTATTTTTAGTAGAGACGGGGTTTCACCATGTTAGCCAGGATGGGTTTGATCTCCTGACCTCGTGATCTGCCCGTCTCTCGGCCTCCGTCGCCAACGTGCCTGGGATGTACCAGCGTGAGCCACCGGGCGCCCGGCCTTATTTTTTTAACTTTTAAGTTCAGGGTTATATATGCAGGTTTGTTACATAGGTAAACTTGTGTTTTTTTTGTTTGTTGTACAGATTACTTCATCACCCAGGTATTAAGCCTGGTACCCACTAGTTATTTTTTCCTGATCCTCTCCCTAGGCTGAATTTTTCTCTGAAAAGGAAACACTTTCCAAAAAGATGTCAAATACTGTAATGTCAAATCTTGGAAAAGATAATCAGCAGTAAAAGTTCTGACTATTTTTTAAATTCATGAGCAAAATTACTGGTTATGTGTCCAATATACTTGTTTGCCTGCTTTTCTGCAAAGGGTCTCTGTCAACATCTGGCTTTTTCTCAGCCAAATCGGACAGCCTCCAGTTTTTTTGTTGATACTGAAACTTAGTTGGGCAAAGGCTTCCAGCTCAGAGAAGTGATATGCTTTTTTTGGTGTAGAACCTCTTTTTCTAGAAACAACCTGGCTTCCCACCAATCAATTCTCTTTTTTTTATGCAGCTTTTATTTAAGCTATAATCTACACTTTCCCACTCCATACCAGCTGGATACTTTCCTTAATAAACAGATCTCTGTGCAGTACACTGCAGAGCTGAGCATTCTTCCAAAGGGAGGGAGAAATCCTGTTGCCTCTCTTTACTCAATCTGGTTGAGCTCCAGGCATGGCAGCTTTTTTTTAGATGAGATGACTTTGCAGAAAATCAACACCACTTGCAGCTAGAATGCCTCTTTTTCCATGTCAACTGCTGGGAAACCCAGCAGGGCAAAGACTCAATGGAGAAGAGATAGGGATTTGGACATAGGATATGGCAGTGTTAACAAAGGGAGGAAGCCACCAAGGAACAAGTATAATAAGATGTTTAGACAACTTGTTCATGCATTTACTTTGTTAGGTAGGAGTTAAATTACAGGGTTCCTCAATTTTGAAGCTTTTTTTTTCCCCCAAATAAATATTCACAATGGATATAAAATGTCCATTTTCTAGAATACAGAATTATACCTGAAGCTGAAGACATTTTCACTTGTTCAAAAATATGTTTTTTTATACACAATGCTGATGTGCAAAAAAAGTACACAGATGTGTATTTAAAAAAACACTTTTTTTGATACTCTAATAGTGAATACATGTAATAAATTTGTCCAAATCCACACAATGTACTTTTTTTAGAGTGAACTCTATTGTAAACTATGGGCTTTAGTTTATAATGATGTGCCAATGTAGACTAATGAGCTGTAACAAATGTACCATTCCGGTGGAGGAGTTGACAATGGCACAGACTATGCATGTGCTGGGATAAGTTGCAGATGGGAAATCTCTATACCTTTTGCTCAATTTTGCTGTGAACCTAACACTGTTCTTTAAAAAAATAAAAGTTGGCCGGGCGCGGTGGCTCACGCCTGTAATCCCAGCACTTTGGGAGGCCAAGACGGGCGGATCACGACATCAAGAGATCAAGACCATCCTGGCTAACACAGTCAAACCCCATCTCTACTAAAAATACAAAAATTAGCTGGGTGTGGTGGCTTTTTTTTGTAGTCCCAGCTACTTGGGAGGCTGAGGCAGGAGAATGGCATGAACCCGGGAGTTTTTTTTTGCAGTGAGTGGAGATCGTGCCACTGCACTCCAGCCTGGGCGACAGAGCAAGATTTTTTTTCAAAAAAAAAAAAAAATAAATAAATAAAATAAAAAAATAAAAAAACAAAGTCATTTTTTTATATCTGTGTGTGTATACACAAAAATATATATGTACATCTATAAATAAAAGTAATTTTTTTTGGAGCTGTGGGCAGTGGCTCATGCCTGTAATCCTGGCACTTTGGGAGGCTGAGTTTTTTTGATCAGGAGTTTGAGGCCAGTCTGGTTAACATAGTGAAATCCCATCTCTACTAATTTTTTTAAAAATTAGCCGGGTGTGGTAGTGTGTGCCTGTAATCCCAGCTACTCGAGAGGCTTTTTTTGGAGAATCATGTGAACCTGGGAGGTGGAGGTTGCAGTGAGCTGAGATCATGCCATTTTTTTCCAGCATGGGTGACAGAGCGAGACTCTGTCTCAAAAAAAAAAAAAAAGATTGGAAGGCAATATTATATAACAAAAGATGATGGTGATTATCAGTCTTGATGATTAAATAAATATATTTTTTTATTGTCTTCTAAAAGTTTTAAAAATGAACATGGATTATCATTATTTTTAGACAGGGTCTCACTTTGTTGCTCAGGGTGGAGTGCAGCGGCATGATCATGGCTCACTGTAGCCTCCAACTCCCAGGCTCAGGGGATTCTCCTGCTATGGCCACCTCAAGTGCTGGGATTACAGGTGTGAGCCACCACATCTGGCCAGAATTATTTTATTTATTTATTTTTTTGAGACGGAGTCTCGCTCTGTCACCCAGTTTGGAGTGCAGTGGCGCGATCTTGGCTCACTGCAGGCTCCGCCTCCTGGGTTCATGCCATTCTCCTGCCTCAGCCTCCCAAGTAGCTGGGACTACAGGCGCCTGCTAACATGCTCAGCTAATTTTTTTGTATTTTTAGTAGAGACAAGGTTTCACCATGTTAGCCAGGATGGTCTCGATCTCCTGACCTCGTGATCCACCTGCCCTGGCCTCCCAAAGTGCTGGGATTACAGGTGTAAGCCACCGCGCCTGGCCCAGAATTATTTTTTTTAATAAGAAAAAAACTCAAGACAGAAGATTACACCTGACAATAATGAAATCATGGTATTAATCTACTGGCACAAATGCTCAAATGTTTTTTTAGTTGATTAGGGAAATGTAATTTTGGGGAAATTGGATTGTTTTTTCTGCTTACATTTTTTTTAAAATTTGCTTGCATGGCCTAAAATATACCATTTGAGGAGTAGTTCTTGAGTGTTTTTTTAACACAGGGAAGCACGCATGAAATAAAACAGGTTGATCAGTCAGAAACTGACTGTATTTGATCTTCATCATGTCTATATTCTTTTAAGTGTTAAAAGCCAAGCTCAATGGGAAACTTGACTCCCAAGTTTGCAGCTTCAGTCACATGAGCTCCTTTTGACTACAGGTATTTGCCCTTTTTTTTAATTAGTCTTCAAACAAACAAACAAACAAAAAAAAAAAACAAAAAAAACAAAAATTTTTTTGAGGGCCCCATAGAATGAGTGACTCACAAGTTTTCTATAGATAACACAAAGTTTTTTTTTTACAATACAAGAGCAGGATGTATCTGAATCCTTATGGAAGTATACATAAGAGACATTTTTTTCAGGTGCCTTGCAAATGGAAAAGCCAATGCCAGTTTTGCAGTATGATCTACAACCAGAAATGCCAACACATATTGGTCAGTTAAAGTAATGGAAAGTAAGTCCCCCTCCCAGCTCACAGCTTTTCATGAGTAATTTCATAGCTAATACACCACTATGAATCACTCTAGACACATATATCCTAGAGTGTCAACAAGTTATTTCAGGGCACAAGTCTTCAAAGGCATAGTCTGAGTGTCTTTTTTTATAAACACTTGAATATTCTGAGTGAGGTGGATCCAGTTTAGTCAGTTCCTGAGCATTTATTCCCCTTCTCTTGTGTTTCCCAGCTTCTAATCATTTCACAGTTTATAAACGTCCTTTTTTTTAGAAAGGAAGTGAAATTCAAACCAACTGATTGACTTCCTTGTAAGCATTTTTGGTGAAAGTGTGGGAAGTGGACACAAAATGAGGTTTTGGCATTCTCCATTGATTTTAATTATTTTTTTTTACTTTGTTCCCACTACATGTAACAGATAAGAACTAAAACTCTAACATTTGAGAGAGAAATAGGTTTTAGGATTTTAGAAGCTTTCATAATCTACCTGTCAGAGAGGTCTTCTTGGTTTTTTTACAAGGTCACTAAATGTTCAGGAACCATGAAGAACAATTTTTAGTCACCAATTTTTTGGTAATCGTAAAAGTAGGGACTCAAAGTGTAGCTACAAGGTTTCATATGTTTGAAAGTTTTTTTTTCTCATCTCTCAGTTATATAGTAGCTCCCACCAGCTCTGCTCAGATATATTAGACCTTAGACACATTTGGCAGATTTGAGAGTGACCTTAAAGGATCATCCTATTTGGGGTCAGGTTTTTTTCCTCATGCCTGTAATCCCAGCACTTTGGGAAGGATGAGGTAGGCGGATCACTTGTTTTTTTGAGTTCGAGACCAGCCTGGGAAACATGGTAAAACCCCATCCCCACAGAAAATACAAAAATTAGACGGGGGTGGTGGCACATGCTTGTGGTCCCAGCTACTCAAGAGGCTGAGAAGTGAGAATCACTTGAGCCTGTGAGGTTTAGGCTGCACTGAGCCGAGATTGTGCCACTACACTCCAGCCTGGGCAATAGAGCGAGACCCTGTTTCAAAAATAAAAACAAAATTAAAAATGAGGGCCAGGCACAGTGGCTCATGTCTGTAATCCCAGCACTTTGGGAGGCCAAGACGGGCAGATCACCTGAGGTCAGGAGTTCAAGACCAATGTGGCCAAGATGGCAAAACACCGTCTCTACTAAAAATACAAAAATTAGCTGGGTGTGGTGGTATGCACCTGTAGTCCCAGCTATTCGGGAGGCTAAGGCAGGAGAATTGCTTGAACCCGGGAGGCAGAGGTTGCAGTGAGACGAGATCGTGCCACCGCACTCCAGCCTGGGCAACAGAGCGAGACTCAGTCACACACACGCACGCACACAAAAAAGTATTTTTTTAATTAGGAAGTGATGAGGTTTGAGTACTTATCACTTTTGTCTTTAATGTAAGTTTTTTTTTATTGATGTATAATAAAATTTAACAATTACCCCCGCCCATGAGTCCATATGGGTTAGCTTTAGTACACCACTTAAAGTGGCCTTAAAAACTTACCAAGAACACATGCTCAAATATTTTTTTTTGGCTATCCATTTGACCAAGGATCACTATCATTTCGTTGTCTATAAATTCCTTGATTTTTTTCAAGTTGCACACCATTTGCATTTCCAACTCTGTTCTTATCTGAAACAAAGATGATTTTTTTTACCCATCTCTTAAAGTCCCTCTATACTTTCAACCATGCACTATTTCCAGCCCCACACCTACTGTTATACCACTGCTAGCCTTGGAACAAACAAGGACTCAAGGTCTCTTACCTCTTTGGATGTAATATTCTCCAAATCCTTCTGCATCATGATCTCCCTTAATTTGGTTTTAATTAGCCTTTCTGTTCGTTCACGTTCAGTAGGTCTGAAAAGAGAGAAATAACGATTATTCTTAATTTTTTTTTTGACTAAGTTAATGAATGTACCATTTGATTAGGTTCCAATTTAGCAAACCTTTTTTTTTTTACCCTCAAATTCACATTGTGGAAGCATGGCAAAATAAAATCATATTTTAAAAAGCTTATTAATTTTCAGAATGTACAGAATTTAAACATGTTAGAAATTATTATTTTGAAGAGGTTATATGTGTCTAAAGCCCTTAAATACATTCATGTATTTAGATCATGAGGGAGCAAAGATTTTTTTTGTGTACTGATTGTAATATATTTTTTTTTTTGAGATGGAGTCTCGCTCTGTTGCCTTTTTTTGAGTGCAGTGGCGCAATCTTGGTTCACTGCAAGCTCCGCTTCCTGGGTTCATGCCATTCTGCCTCAGCTTCCTGAGTTGCTTGACTACAGGCACCTGCCACCATGCCCGGCTAATTTTTTGTATTTTTAGCAGAGACGGGGTTTCACCGTGTTAGCCAGGATGGTCTCGATCTCCTGACCTCGTGATCTGCCCGTCTTGGCCTCCCAAAGTGCTGGGATTACAGGCGTGAACCACCGTTTTTTTTAGATTGTAATACTTTAATGGAGGACGACACCCATACTTGTTTCTGTATTCTGGTTTTTTTTTACTGAGCTAGAATACCCAGCTCAGTAGACCAGTACTATGACCTACCACGGAACTAAGTCTCCTGTGGTTTAAAATGCCACCTTATGCTGATAAGTCAATGTTGTGGTTCTAGATTTTTTTAAAGAAAGAAGAATGATCAGGCTGGGCGCGGTGACTCAAGCCTGTAATCCCAGCACTTTGGGAGGCCGAGGCAGGGGGATCACGAGATCAGGAGATCGAGACCATCCTTAGAGATTTTTTTTCCCCGTCTCTACTAAAAAACAAAAAACTAGCCAGGTGAGGTGGCGGGTGCCTGTTTTTTTTGCTACTTGGGAGGCTGAGGCAGGAGAATGGCGTAAACCCGGGAGGCGGAGCTTGTTTTTTTCTGAGACCCGGCCACTGCACCCCAGCCTGGGCAACAGAGCAAGACTCCGTCTCATTTTTTTAAAAAAAAAAAGAAAGAAAGAATGATCCTGCCTTCTTCAATAAGGCAAATCCTCTTTTTTTATCGGTTGTAGAGATCAACTACTTAGAGCAGGGGTACCCAATGGGTACTGGTCAGTGGCCTGTTAGAAGCGGGCAGCAGAGCAGGAGGTGAGCGGCGGGCAAGCATTACTGCCTGAACTCCACTTCCTGTCAGATCAGCGGCATTAGATTCTCATAGGAGCGCAAACCCTATTGTGAACTGCACATGTGAGGGATCAAGGTTGCATGCTCCTTATGAGAAGCTAACTAATGCCTAATGATCTGAGGTGAAACAGTTTCATCATGAAACCATCCCTGCCCCACTGCTCCCTGTCTGTAGGAAACCGGTCCCTGGTGCCAAAAAGGCTGGGGACTGCTGACTTAAGAGCCCTTCCATCCAGAATGCTTTCCTTTTAATGACAGTTTTCACAATATCTCTGTGAAACAGTTATCCTTGTTTTATTTTTTTAGGAAACAAACAACTGAAAAGTTAAATGACATGCTGATAACCACGCTGGCGCAGGACAATTAGAACACTCAGCCTAGCCTAATGCTCTACCTGAAGGATTGTCATTTCCTTTAGTTTTTTTTCTCTCTTAAAAATAAAATCACCCTTAGAACTTTAATATGAAATCAAACTAGGTAGCTGCCTCTCCAATTATTAGAAAAGTAGTGGTTCAATGTAACTAGATACTTCTCCTCTAAATTTTTTTTTCAGATTATGCAGAATTTGAATGAGGTTGACAGGGGGTACTTTGTTTCATCTCTTTTTTTACTCCCACCACCTACTCAAGAAAGGTATCTGGCTCTGCACCTCCTTATTTGGAGATGAAAATGGACTAAGCCTTCAGGCATCCTGCCTGCCCTTGCTGCCTACAGCCTTATCGCTGGTTGCAAAAATAGCTTTGGTAATCTCCAGAGATGGATGCTCTAACCCCACAACCTTGGGGCTTCCCACCACTTGTGCTCTCAATTTCTCACGAATCCTACAGAATACAGCTAATACCTGAGTTTTTTTTCTTCAATCAGCCAAGGTATTCCTGTCTTAACTAGGATTAAAATTCTTATCCATGCTTTATTTATCCTAGACATAGCTAACGGTAGAAAATAAATGTATAATTTCAGTCTTCCATTTTTTTTAAATATTGGGCCAGGTGCAGTGGTTAATGCATGTAATCCCAGCACTTTGGGAGGCCGAGGTGGGTGAATTGCTTGAGCTTAAGAGTTCGAGACTAGCCCAGGCAATTGGCGAAACCCCATATCTACAAAAAATAAAAATAAAAAATTAGCCAGGCATAGTGACACACAGCTGTAGTTTTTTTTCTACTTGGGAGGCTGAGGTGGGAGGACTGCTTGAGCCCCAGAGGTGGAGGCTGCAGTGAGCTCTGATTGCACCACTGCACTCCAGCCTGGGTAACAGAGCAAGACTCTGTCTTGAGGAAAAACAAAAAGGTAAAAGCAAATTTTAGTACCTGTGTTCATGGGTCAGATTCCCTAGTTCCTAAGCAATTTTTCCTTTAATCCTTCACAGGTGTTTGAGGCAGAGTGGTTGGGGAGTAGTTTTTTTTAGGTTTTAATCCCAGCCCTGCTATTGGTGGTGTGACTTCTAACAAGTTCCTTCTTTTTTTTGCACCTCTGTTTCCTTTTCTATAAAATGAGTAGAGCAGGCTGGGTGTGGTGGCTTTTTTTTGTAATCCCAGCACTTTGGGAGGCTGAGGCAGGTGGATCACCTGAGGTCAGGAGTTCGAGACCAGCCTAGCCAGCACGGGGAAACCCTGTCTCTACTAAAAATACAAAAATTGGCTTTTTTTAGTGGCGGGCACCTGTAATCTTAGCTACTTGGCAGGCTGAGGCAGGAGAATTGCTTTTTTTCTGGAGGCGGAGGTTGCAGTGAGCTGAGATAGTGCCATTGCACTCTAGCCCAGGTTTTTTTCAGTGAGACTCCGTCTTAAAAAAAAAAAAAAAAAAAAAGAGTAGAGCAATAATATTTTTTTCATGATAGTCTTATGAGAACATGTATGAAGTGCTGGCATAACACCAGATGTATATTTTTTTTATGTATATTCCCTTCTTCCTCCTTTCCCTGGATTTCAAAATATAAATTATTCATTTTTTTGTATTTAAGTCCATTTTGGCACACATTCTCCCTGTATTCTCAGCATCGTTTTATTTTTTTTTCTAGTCAACTTAGGGAGGAGGAGGAATGGAAAAAGCATTATAACACACAAATCTGCTTTTTCCTCCTCAATTTCATTGGAGAAAAATTTGGAAAATATGTAAAAATATAAAGTATTTTTTTACCACTGAAAATCCCTCTACCTAGAGATAATTATTAACACCACTCTGGCCTACAGCTTTCGTGTATTCTTTTTCTGTAAACAGACAGAAATTCTTAAAATATATCTTAAAATTAGTTTTTTTATTGTACATACTAAGAACTAACAGTTAATAAGCCTTTATCATTTGCCAGGGACTTTTTTTTTGTTTTTTGCTTAGGGATGTAAAGAGAGTAAGAGTAATTTCCTTCTTCTTCTTGTTTTTTTTGTAGTGTCAAAATCTTCTCTAATAAAATCTTTTTTTTTTTTTTTTTTTTTTTTTTTTTTTAGAGTCTCGCTCTGTCGCCCAGGCTGGAGTGCAGTGGCACGATCTGTGCGATTTTCTCGGGTCAATGCAACCTCCACCTCTCAGATTCAAATGATTCTCCTGCCTCAGCCTCCTGAGTAGCTGGGATTATAGGCGCCTGCCACCATGCCTGGCTAATTTTTGTATTTTCAGTAGAGACGGGGGTTTCATCATGCTGGCCAGGATGGTCTCGAACTCCCGAGCTCAGGTGATCCACCTGTGTTGGCCTCCTAAAGTGCTGAGATTACAGGTGTGAGCCACTGTGCCCAACTTGTCTCTAATAAAATCTGGAAAAAATGGGAAGAAAAGTTATCTCTCTCTCATGTAAGTCTGGTTTAGAATGTGCTTTTTTGAGCTAGATGAGACATCAATTTCTCTGAAACTCATCACCTAGCTGTAAAGCATGAAATCACCAGTAACATTTCCCATGAATCTTTATCTTTTCAATTACTGTGAGATTCTGAAAAGACCAAAGCTACTGAAAAGAAGGTCCTAGTAGCAATAACACCCTGTGCAAAAAAAGATTCCACTGCTTTTTTGACTGTTCCTTTCATACAATTTTTGGAAAGTTCACCTTTTCTAGTAAAGAGCATTTTTTAGGCCAGGTGCAGTGGCCACGCCTGTAATCCCAGCACTTTGGGAGGCTGAGGCAGGTGGAGACCAGCCTGGCCAACATGGAGAAACCCCGTCACTACTAAAAATACATAAATTAGCTGACCGTAGTGGCACACGCCTGTAATCCCAGCTACTCGGTAGGCTGAGGCAGGAGAATTGCTTGAACCCGGGAGGCAGAGATTGTAGTAAGCCAAGATCATGCCACTGCATTCCAGCCTGGGCGACAGAGTGAGACTTCGTCTCAAAAAATAGAATAAAATAAACTATTCTGTTAAAAAAAAAAAAAAAACTCGGCCGGGCGCACGGTGGCTCAGCCTGTAATCCCACCACTTTGGGAGGCCGAGGCAGGTGGATTGCCTGAGCTCGGGAGTTTGAAACCAGCCTGGGCAACATAGCAAAACCTTGTCTCTACTAAAAATACAAAAAATTAGCTGGGTGTGGTGGTGGGCACCTGTAATCCCAGCTACTCAGGAGGCTAAGGCAGGAGAATTGCTTGAACTCAGGAGGCAGAGGTTGCTGTGAGCAGAGATCATGCCACTGCACTCCAGCCTGGCGATGGAGCAAGACTCTGTCTTAAAAAAAGAAAAAAAAAAAACCCCTCCCCCACCCAAAAAAAAAAACCAGGAACTGTTTTGGCATGACTTTAGGAATCTAAAGGAGAATCCTGTTTGTAAGGTCAGACAGTAACTAGCTACTCTTCTTTCCCTGCTGTAGAATACCTTGGAAGTGCAGAAAGATCAATTTAGAGCAAAAGAAACATCATGACAAATTTACAAAGCAGGCACTAAGTGTAAAAAAATTTCCAAAATAGCCACAGAAGTTTCAACACATAGACCTAAAAAGGAAATAAACATCAGCTTTACCTTAGGCTGTTATCTAACTCACAGTACACTAGGGAGATTTAATTAAATTGTACTGACAAGGACTTATCAACGGAAAGGTAGAGCAGAATAAGACATTTGAATGATAAAATATTAAAAAAAATTTTTTAAGTTAAAAATCAACAGGCTGGGTGTAGTGGCTCACACCTGTAATCCCAGGATTTTGGTAGGCTGAGGCAGGAGGACTGAGGCCAGGAGTTTAAGACCAGCCTGAGCAACACAGTGAGACCCCATCTCTAAAAAAATAAAAATTCAAAAATTAGCCAGGTGTGGTGGCACATGCCTGTAGTCCTAGGTACTTTGCAGGCTGAAGTGAGAGGATCACTTAAGCCCAGAAGTTTGAGGCTGCAGCGAGCTATGATTGTGCCACTGTACTCCAGCCTGGGTGACAGAGTGAGATCCTGTCTTTTTAAAAAAAAATTAGCTTAACAAGTTAGGCATTAAGTTGACTGGAAACATCTTGTTTTCTTAAGTATTACAAACATGACTTTGAAAGCTTCTTTATATCACCAGTAATGCTTACTAAACTGATTCTTTCAGATAATGCAAACTCAAACTTCAGTGCAACTCCTTTAAACTCAATTTTCAAATTAGTGGAATCTGAATAATGAAATTTTATGGTATTGCAGTTTTTGACTATGGAGACTCCACTGTGCCTTGGGGTGAAGCTTCTCAGGCCTTTGCAGGCAACAGCAAGAATAGGATTCTTCATATGTGGCAGATATGTGGTACTGACAGTGACTAATATTCCTGGGTAAGATTAATTCCCCAAGAGAAAAGATTAGGGAGGAACACGCTTCTTATGACTCCTCAGGACATAATGTAGAGAACTTCCATAATCCTTAGCAAACTGACTTACATGTCGGTGAAGAGAGCTGGAGAGTCGGGCCGGTGGGACTGGACATCTTGCATAGCATTCCATTCATTGACTGAGGATTGATCTGAGTTGATATGGCTCTCATAATAACTCACCCAGGTGAGAAATAGGCTGCCTGGGTAGTAGTTATGCGCTCTGGCGACTTCACAAGCCTTGTGTAAGCTCTGTAGTGCAGACCTGAAAGATATGCTGGGAAATGAGCACCATAGAACTGTGGGGTGCCAAAGGCCAATAACCTGTGTACCTCAAACTCTTCTAATTTTTAAATTCTATAGAATTTGTCCTCTGGAGAATCTACTCCTTGAAATTCAAGATTCTCCAATTCTGATTATACCATATTATCTACCCATAGCAAGGGACAAGACATTTGCTGAAAGATATGATGCATCATTAAGGTAGGGAGAAGATGGGGAAGGAGAGCTGACAACTCACCAGTGAAAAATAGGTCCAGGTACCTACGGAGCACATGATCCATGCAGTGACTGCTGTATCATTAGAAAACTAAAGATCTGACTAATTTGCCATATAAGGATTTGTTTCCCTCAGCACAGGATGTTACAGCATACATTTTCTGTAATTCTTAAGAGGCTTCACAAAGATCACATAGATGGATGTCCCTAAGCCTTGAGGACATGTCCTTTAATGTTCAGGAAGTTTTGATGTAATGATATTTATTATTCCTGCTGCCTTAGTCTCCTAGTCTCTTTAAATCCATGAGCTACTTTCTAAGAACAGATCTGGTTATTCTTTTTTGTTGAGACAGTGACTCATTCTGTCGCCGAGGCTGGAGTGCAGTGGTGTGATCTCTGCTTACTGCAACCTCTACCTCCTGGGTTCAAGTGATTCTCATGCCTCAGACTCCCGAGTAGTAGCTGGGATTACAGGTGCATGCCACTACACTAGGTTAATTTTTGTATTTTTAGTTGAACAGGTTTTTGCTATGTTGGTCAGGCAGGTCTGGAACTCCTGGACTCAAGACATCCGTCCGTCTTGGCCTCCAAAAATGCTGGGATTACAGGTGTGAGCCACCGTGCCTGGCCTAACTCTAGTAATTCTGAGACTAATTAAACCTTCTGGCTCTGTCTGAACTCAGGAACCCAAGAAGAGTAAACAAATTGAAAAGTACATTTTTCATTATATATGTGGGAAAAGCTTAAGCTAGAAATACTACGAAGTAAGTTATACAAGAGCAAGAACCTTTCTACACTTTGTTTACCCAAGTGAGTAAAAGAATACCTAGTTCATAGGTGGAGCTCAATTAGTATTTGTTGAGTGAAATATCATTAGCTATAAACTAATGTCTCTCTAAGAAAAAAGACATTATGGCCAGGCATGGTGGCTCATGCCTGTAATCCTAGCACTTTGGGAGGCCAAGGTGGGTGGATCACTTGAGGTCAGGAGATCAAGATCAGCCTAACCAACATGGTGAAACCCCGTCTCTACTAAAAATACAAGAATTAGCCAGTGAGCAGTGGCACATGCCTGTAGTCCCAGGTACTCGGGAGGCTGAGGTGGGAGAATCGCTTGAACCTGGGAGACGGAGGCTGCAGTGAGCTGAGATGGTGCCACTGCACTCCAGCCTGGGTGACAGAGCAAGACTCTGTCTCAAAAAAATATATATATATTTTTGTTTCCCTCGTAACAAAAATGATGCATGTCTACTTTAGAAAATTTGGGACCTCAGAGAAAAGGCAGAAATATCCTGTAATCCTATCACCCTGAAATAACCGCTGTTAAGGTTTTAGTGGATTTTTCCAGTCTTTTTGGCTATGCATAGATGTATAATAAACAAAGATATGACCATATTCTCCATACCATCTATAACTTGCTCTTTTGTTTTACAGTCTATCATCAACATCTTTCCATGTCAAATATTTTTCAACTGGATCATTTTTAATGGTTGCATAATATTTAATGATATAGATGTACCATAATTTACTAATTCCTATTTTTCAATCGTTTAAATTGTTTTTCATTTTTTGCTATTATTAGAACACTGACAAACATTCTTATAGCTAAAATCTTTGCACACATCCATGTTTACAAACATGGAGTAAACTCATAGAAGTAGAGTTACTAGGACAAAGATCATGCAAAATGATAAGGCATATTGGCAAATCACTCTCCAGAAAGGCTGCTCCAGTTCATTCTTCCACCAATAGTACATCACAGTGTTTGTTCCTTGAATCCCTGTCCACCCTATACAATGTAAATTAAGAAAACAAATTTAAACCAATTTAATAAGGGGAAATGTGTCGGTCCATTTTTATTAGGAAAACACAAATGTTTTCCTTAAAAAAAAGTTGCAGAGTCTTTTAAAAATGCTTTCTATTATTCAAAGTAAGCCAAAGTCTCAAGAGAATAATCTGAGAATTTCAGTTTCATTACACAGATTCAAAGGTAAGAGCCAGCTTAGTGTAACTTACAGAATGCCTAATGCATGTTTCTTCATCTAGGAAACACATGCTCCAAAAGCATATGCCACAGAGTCTGGTGCAACTGTCCTAAAATATACTCAAGGCCTAGGCACCTCAGATACTCCAGCTGCATCGGAGTGGGAGGCTGCAGTAACTATCTTCCTGTGAAGGAAACACCTGGTCTAAACGTTGCTTTGATCCACACATCATCTATTTTTTTTCTCCTGTGACTTCAACTCACTACTCCCCATAAGGTACATCAAGAAAAGTTTATTCTGCAATAAGAGCTAGGATCAGTTTACTTTTACAGGGATGTCCAATTTTTTGGCTTCCCTGGGCCACATTGGAAGAACTGTCTTGGGTCACACACAGAATACACTAATGATAGCTAATGAGCTAAAAAAAAAAAAAAAAAAAAAAAATTGCAAAAAAAAATCTCGTATTTTAGGAAAGTTTTATGAATTTGGATTAGAATTTTAGGAAAGTTTTATGAATTTGTGTTGGGCCGCATGCAAAGCCGTTCTGGGATGCATGTGGCCTATGGGCCATAGGTTGGACAAGCTTGCTTTAGAACATCAAAGCTTGATTTAAGGTTATTACTTGAATTAAGACTGCTCTGTACTCTTCCCCAAAATATACCTGAAAATGCTGTCATTTATGGTTGTTACTGCTGTTTGGATTTACTTGTTACTTAAGAACAGATAAGTCAATTGTCTTTAACTGAACCTTAGTCAAAGGAGGTCATAAATTTCCTAAGTTTTCCATGAGAAACTTACCTGCAAAATATGTCCTAACTCTAAAAATATGGTCTAAACACATGACCTGAAACTCTGTCCTATCTCAATCACTGCAGGTAATGATAAGACTTAATTGTTCAGTGACGCTTTGGACTCCACCCACTTCCATCCAACAATTCTGTTTTCAGGGGTAGATTATCTCCCTGGGGTCTTTTTCAGGCTCTTTTATTTCTTGTTTTGCTTGCATTCTGTCCATTCCACTCCTCACGGGGACTTCTACTACCTAACAGGCAGCTGAATAAGAAATTGAAATTCAAATCCCTGACTGGGGAATGAATTCTGAATCTTAGTCACATCATTCTCTGGCTATATTAGATAATTTTCTTTTTCCCTTTTTTTTTTTTTTTGAGACGGAGTCTTGCTCTGTCACCCAGGCTGGAGTGCAGTGGCCCGATCTCAGCTCACTGCAAGCTCCGCCTCCTGGGTTTACGCCATCCTCCTGCCTCAGCCTCCCGAGTAGCTGGGACTACAGGCGCCCGCCACCTCGCCTGGCTAGTTTTTTTATTTTTTAGTAGAGACGGGGTTTCACTGTGTTAGCCAGGATGGTCTCGATCTCCTGACCGTGATCCGCCTGTCTCGGCCTCCCAAAGTGCTGGGATTACAGGCTTGAACCACCACGCCCAGCTATTAGATAATTTTCTAGATAATCTAAAATAAGAGAATAAGAGGCGAGGTGAAGTGGCTCACACCTGCAATCCCAGCACTTTGGGAGGCCAAGGCAGGAGGACTGCTTGAGGCCAGGAGTTCAAGACCAGCCTGGGCAACACAGAGAGACCCCCGTCTCCACAAAAAAATTAAAAAAATTAGCCAGGTGTAGTGGCACATGCATGTAGTCATAGCTGCTTAGGAGGCTGAGGTAGGAAGAACACTCGAGCCCAGGAGTTGGAGGCTGCCATAAGCTATGATTGCACCACTGCACTCCAGCCTGGGCAACAGAGGGAGACCTTGTGTCTTTAAAAGAGAGACACAGAGAGAGAGAGAGAGAGAGAGAGAGAGAGAGAGAAATACCTATCCTGTCTAAATGTAAGAAATACTCTCAGGGCAGTTATGTAACCCCTCCAAAGCATGTTTTCTCACCCATAGTAAGGGGCTAATAATATTATTTTGGGGGCTTGGTATGATGATTAAATAAAATCCATGTAAAACATCTGGCATGTAGTAAATAGCCCTGAAATGTCCATATGCCAGCTGATGGTTATTAGCAAGTATAATGTTTTCTCTAGGCTTTATTTGCATTATGCAAATAGCCACCAGCAGTTTAAATGGAAATTTATCTATCCATAAAGTAACTCTGTGAATGCTATCCCTGGTTACCTTAAGAAATAGCTAATGCAGGCCAGGCGCAGTGGCTCACACCTGTAATTCCAGCACTTTGGGGGGCCGAGGTGGGCAGATCATGAGGTCAGGAGTTTGAGACCAGCCTGGCCCATATGGTGAAACCCTGTCTCTACTAAAAAATACAAAAAAATTAGCCAGGCATAGTGGCACGTGCCTGTAGTCCTAGCTACTCGGGAGGCTGAGACAGGAGAATCACCTGAACCTGGGAGGCAGAGGTGGCAGTGAGCCGAGATTGCGCCACTGCACTCCAGCCTGGGCAACAGAGTGAGGCTTCGTCTCAAAAAAAAAAAAAAAAAAAAGAAATAGCTAATGCGTAGCACTGTATGTTCTAGATTTGGCTCTTAGTCCACTAAGTAATTAACTTAGTCAATGTGTCCCTAATAAAGCTCAGTATCAACTGGCTTATCTAAACCGTTAAGTCTCTGCCAGAGCCTAAGAATACCACCTCTGAATTCCTCTGAATTTCACTTGTTTACCAATACTCAAGGCCTTCCAGTTGTTAAAAATTTGAATATTGCATTTCTAGGTCATCTTTAACTACGATGGTTACACAAACAGATCATTTAGCATTTTCAAAGCAAATTGTACCATTTCAGACATTTCTTACAAAATATTGTTCCAATAACATTAAAACACTTTTGTAGAGATAGTAAAAGTCATCTTACCACATTGCCTGCACAGATACAGGTTTGAATATGTGAACTCTGTTATCCGTCGATACACTGAACCCACTAAGGACAAATGAGAACAAGACAAAAATTCACAAATTAGGGTAGGTTATTTCAGTTGTGAGTTTTCACGGATGTATCCCAGGCTAACCACAACTGGCTCCGTAGAGGGAATCATCAGGCATTTCATGTAGAAGTTTTAACTAGAGAATAAGACTTGACAGAAAAGCTTTGACAAATTGTCTTGACTTCATCTACCAAGCAAAATGAATGGATTCCCATATTGGAGTTAGGGAATTAAATACAGTTTCCCAGCTGTAGCTATGGACAAAATGTTCCGTATATTTCTATTTGGAGGTCTTGTGGGTTCTTAGCAAACCTGACCCTGGTTTTATAAACTGGAGCAAACATCTTGGTCTCTTGGGGACACATTCTAAAAACATTAGGAGGTAGGGTGGGGGTGGGGTCACTGGAAGGAACTGGCATAGCAAAGGGGTTATACTGTAGGCTGACAGCTGGCAGAGGAGGCAAGAGGTTATTTGAAACAGAACATATCATCCTTTGGGAGAGCATTGCAACAGTCCCACACGCTCAGATTAAAGAGCCAACAAACTAGTTCTTCTTTGTCTTGATTCCTACCACAGTCGGCCTAGAAGAACAGAAGTGAGAGACCCTGGCAAGTTGTATTTTTACTCCACTTTACAAAACAGGAGTTTAAAAGGACTCATTGAGCTGCTGACATGAAAGTTCGGTTGGCACACTGGGCCTCCCTTTTAGCTGAATGAATGTGCAGTAAGATGGAGCCCCACCCCTTGGCTTTCTGTAACAGAATAAAAAAGGAAATCTCTTACCCATCACCATCCAAATGAATTAGTGTGTCGCTCCAGAGAGGCAAAACTAAGCCCATGGTACAAGTGCTACTGCAAGACAAGAAATAGTCCACAAGTTACTCCCTGTTACTCTGGGAAGCAGTCTTTTGTTTACTAACTCTCAACACCAAGGATAAACCCTTAAATTCTAAATTCTGGCATACGTGTTACAGTGAAGAAATTTCTATCATATCACTATTAATCTTATGTATGTCCTCAGGAGCTGTTTTAAAGAGATAGTGAGTCAGTTCCTTAAATAGTTAATGAAGAAAACTTGCTGACTCAGCTTCCTACATTGTCATCTTGCAAATGACCACTATCTAAAAAATGCAGATGATTGCTGCTGACTTGCATTTGGCAGGTCTTAGCACAAGGTACAGTGCCCAACTGAACTCCAATGATTTTTTTTTTTTTTTTTGAGATGCAGTCTTATTTTGTTGCCCAGGCTGGAGTGCAGTAGCGCAGTCTCGGCTCACTGAAACCTCTGACTCCTGGGTTCAAGCAATTCCCCTACCTCAGCCTCCCCAGTAGCTGGGATTACAGGTGCGTGCCACCATGCCCGGCTAATTTTTTGTATTTTTAGTAGAGATGGGGTTTCACCATGTTGGCCAGGCTGTAATCCCAGCACTTTGGGAGGCCGAGGTGGGCGGATCACCTGAGGTCAGGAGTTCAAGACCAGCCTGGCCAACATGGTGAAACCCTGTCTCTACACTAAAAATACAAAAATTAGCTGGGTGCAGTGGCAAGCGCCTGTTATCCCAGCTACTCAGGAGGCTGAGGCAGGAGAATCACTTGAACCTGGGAGGCAGAAGTTGCAGTGAGCTGAGACTGCACCATTGCACTCCAGCTCTGGAGACAGAGCAAGACTCTGTCTCAAAAAGAGTGATTCCAGAGCTCAGGAGATTCAAATCAAGACTGAAAGAGCTTATCCACATTGCAACCTGGACCTGAACAACAGAAACACAGCTACCATGCCAGAGTCCAGGAGCAAGACAGCTCTACCATAAGTTTTGTTGAGCAGATGAGATGAGCGCACAAAAAATTTGTTTTGAAAATGGCTTCACAAGATGAAGTCGGGATAGTTTTACGGTAGCTTTTTGCTTTGTATTTAGTGAGTGCTTAGCCAGGTTCTTAGCAACAAGTATAATTTGGAGTATAAATATGATGGGTTGGTAGCCCAGTGACAAATCCAGAAATTAACTATATAAAAAGATATAGACGCTGCAAAAGGGTGTGATCTATAAGCTTGTGACCAGATTTTGGTTAACCTTTGGACAAGTGACATTGATAGACAGGAATCAACATTACATTTTTGGCTTGTATTCAGGCCAGAATGCTTTTTTACATTAAGCAGCAGCTTTTTTAGCTGGGTGTGGTGGCTCACGTCTGTAATCCCAGCACTTTGGGAAGCAGAGGCGGGTGGATCACAAGGTCAAGAGATCGAGACCATCCTGGTCAACATGGTGAAACCCCGTCTCTACTAAAAATACAAAAATTAGCTGGGCATGGTGATGTGTGCCTGTAGTCCCAGCTGCTCGGGAGGCTAAGGCAGGAGAATCGCTTGAACCCGGGAGGCAGAGGTTGCAGTGAGCCGAAATTGTGCCACTGCACTCCAGCTTGGCCACAGAGCGAGACTCTGTCTCAAAAAAAAAAAAAAAAAAAGAAGTAGCTTTTTCACAGAACAGGAAGGAAAGGCCTGAATAAGGCACACTTGGTATTTTTATCCAGGTTACCTCAGTCTCTCAAGATTTTTCTCCATTAAAGTATAACTACTTACTTTAGTAAATATTCAACTCATTTAATAAGGATTTATTTAGTGCCTACTATGTACCAGACATTTCAAGGTGTTAGGAGTACAAAAAGAAATGGAAAAAAAAAAAACACAACAACAAACCACGAAGATCTATTATTTTATAACTTGAAATATATGTTACATTTTAGAAATCAAGATTATGCTGCATACTAAAAAATTTATTTAAATATAATACTCAAAGAACTTGTAAATGGGCTAAATGAATTGGCTGCGACATATTATTAAGAACTATTTGTACTTGTCATTATCTGGGTTCCACTTAGGCTTAATACTATTTTGAAGCATTAACATTTTACATTCTCAGATATGAAATGATACAAATTCAAATTCCTTCAACAACAACTGAGACAGAAATGATTTTAGATTGCCTGAGCACCTGAGACTTCTTACAGTCCAAGGAACTCATTAAAGCGAGGATGTATGGGAATTTCATAATAGTAAGTTTAGCAAACAGAATGAAAACTAGTTTCTAGTGTTTCATGTCTTATTTTGTCTTCTATAAACTAAAATTTCCTTTGGCTAGTGACACTGGTCAGATATGAATCAGACAGGGCCATTGGCAAAAGATAGATGTAATTCACTGAGTATAAACTACTGGGTACCTATATTAATATGCATTCTTTCTGGTAAAGTTAGGACAAAGTGAAAGAGATTAAGATTAGACATGTGCTTGCTGATATTCTGGGTCAGGAGAATCTGTTGTTATTGTCTTTTGTCTCTAGGGGAAGATTCAATTGAAGCTTTGTGAGGTTCCTGTTCCTGTTTTATAGGGTTTTCAAGGGAGGGGGTCAGGGAGAACTGAACAAAGGAAATACTAGCTAGAACAGTGCTGTCCAACTGAACTTTCTGCAAGAATGGAAAATGTTCTATACATGTACTAATATGATAGCCACTAGCACATACGGTTACTGAATACTTGAAATGTGACTAGTTGGAACTGAGGAACTGAAATTTCATTTAATTTTAATCTATTTAAAAAGACACATGCATGCTGTATGCAGTCGCTCATGCCTATAATCCCAGCACTCAGGAAGGAGCTCAAGAGTTGAGACCAGCCTGGACAACACAGAGAGACCGTGTTCTCCACAAAAAGGAAAAAAGAAAGGAAGGAAGATGAAAGAAGGAAGGCAGGCAGGCAGGCAGGCAGGCAGGAAGGCAGGCAGGCAGGCAAGAAGGAAGGAAGGGGCACATATGGTTAGTGGCTACTATACTGGACAATACAGATCTAGAGAGATTAAAAACCTAAATTAGAGGTCCTAAAATCCTAATGAATGTAAACAAGGTAGGTGCTGTTATAGGAAAATGCTTACTGAAAGCTCCGTTGCTTAATCAGAAGTTAAAACCATGCAGGAGAAAGCTTCCTAAATGTGGTTTACAAGCCCGTGTAAATTTAGAGCCTACAATTAAATGCTGTTAAGTGGTATACAAGCTAATAACTTTGGCTTTGGGAATCCCTGTGAACCCGCAAGTTATTTTCAGGTTGACTTCTATATAGGAATAAGGTAAACATTGGTTTGGGAAACTTTCTAGTGATAAAGTGATTTTTTTCCCCTTAACATCAGGACAATTAGAATCATTCCCAGGCTCCTCCTCTCTTTGTGACTAAATTTCCCTAGGCCTGGGTCACACCCCTAGCTATTCCAAAGTTCCATTCTAGTCCTGAACCAGGAAGTCAATGCTTTGAGACATCTGGCAGGATTTCCTGAGGCTTACTATCCAGAGTGTAAAGATCTGCTTAGCAGCCACATTCCACAGTCTTCCGAAGGTTTCTCCAGAAAAAGTGGGAAAAATAAAAAAGGAAAGCAACAAACCTTAACGACACACAAAAAGGACAGGTGTTGTGTGTTATCTTTCATCATAGAATATAAAGTACAGCTAAAGCCAAAGGTACATAAAAAGTTCTGCTTTGAGTTTAAGGAGCCATCCTGTACCGCCCCATGCCCGCCCCTCCACCATCCTTTTTAACTCAATAAAAGGAAAAAGGAGGCAAAACATTTGGTAAAAGCAAGGTTTAAGGACATGGATAAACAAAACAGATGGTAGTTTAAGTGGGATCTCTTTGGATCTGGGACCACTGGTATACTACCACAAAGGCTGGGTGCCCTATAATCACCCAAGTGAATCATTACTGACTACAATAGAGTAGGCCAGGTGCAAGGCTCATGCCTATAATTCCAGAACTTTGGGAAGCCCAAGTGGGAGGATCGCTTAAGCCCAGGAATTCAAGACCAGCCTGGCCAACATAAGGAAATCTCGTCTCCAGAAAAATAAGGAAAAAAAAAAAAAAAAAAAAAGACCAAATAGCTGGGTATGGTGGTGCATGCCTGTACTTCTAGCTACTTAGGAGGCTAAGGTGGAGGAATTTGAGGCTGTAGTGAGCTGTGACTGTATCACGGCACTTCAGCCTGGACAACAGAGCGAGACATTGTCTCAAAAAAATAAATAAAAAGACAGCTTTTTAAATGTAACTTTGAAACCACTTGCTTTATATTGTGACTATCTAAAGATGAGACGAAGGTATGGAATAATGGTAAATTAGAAACTCAGGACCAAAGACATTCACTAAACATTCTTGTTTCTCAAGACTGTGGCTAAGATACTTATGTTCTTTAGTTTTATGTCTTGTACTTTAACAGCAGAACTGCACAAGATATTTTTGTGATAAAAGGCAACTGGGGTCAGGCATGGTGGCTCACGCCTGTCATCTCAGCACTTTGGGAGGCTGAGGTGGGTGGATCACTTGAAGTCAGGAGTTTGAAACTGGCCAACATGGCAAAACTCTGTCTCTACTAAAAATACAAAAATTAATCGGGCATAGTGGTGCACACCTGTAATCCCAGCTACTCGGGAGGCTGAGGTAGGAGAATTGCTTGAACCCAGGAGGCAGAGGTTGCAGTGAACCAAGATTGTGCCACTGCTTTCCAGTCTGGGCAACAGAGTGATGACATTCCGTCCCCCTGCCCCCCACCAAAAAAAAAAAACAACTGGAACAGGTTACTTAAAACGCAGTTTTCACATTTTGAAATGGTACCACCATACCTGTCATTAGAGGAGAAATCCATTCCTAGGACGATGCTTTCTTCGGTGTCTTGTCTACCATTAGTTGAAACCACTACCATATAGCGTGTTCGATTCTGGTAAGTACTTTCCAGTCTTACAGCCTGGAAGTTAGCACACAACAGAGATATTATGAAATTTACAATGTTAATTTCAGATCATTTCAACCCTTTTTCATCAGCGTCTTTAGCATACTCAGGAAGGCAGCAGAGTCAGTAGTTAGGAGACATAAATTAAAATCTCAGCTTGTATACTAGCTATAAAACCTTTGGTAAGTTACTAAATTAATTGGAGGGAGATATAATAATACCTATCTGTCTGGTTGTTTTAAGAATCTTATAAAATAATACATGTAAAGCACCGTGCTTGGCACGCAGTAAATGCTCAATAAGATGTTTGTTATTAGCGTAATTTATACTAATTACCACAGCGTGTAATAAAGATTGAAGAGGGAAATGTGAGGTATATGAATGTGAGCATTGGTCTCAGAGATGCAATTCCCACAAACAATTATAATATGGAGCAAACTATTAGCAACATCTAAGGCGAGTATTGACTTTGCTATACTGAATTCCTGTATGTTAATACACTATAAGATTTTCTTAAGTTTCAATGATAATTAAAGGAGACTGCATTTTCAGAAACTTCTCATTTTTTGTCAAAAGTTTTAATTTATTGCTTAATTTTTAAAAAGACCCTCAGAAAATTTGAATACGGACAGGGTCTTAGATGAAATTAAGGATTTACAGTTAATGTAATAATGGCATTGTGGTTACTGTGACTTTTTCTTAAGTACTGGGAGTGAAATGACATGGTTTCTGAGTTTTATTTTAAAATGTTCCAACAAAAAAATTTAACACAGAGTGGGGATAGATGAAAGAAGTCAGGCAAAAGGTTGATGGTTATTAAAGCTGAGTAATGGCCAGGCGCGGTGGCTTACGCCTATAATCCCAGCACTTTGGGAAGCCAAGTAGGCAGATCACCTGAGGTCAGGAGTTCAAGACCAGCCTAGCCAACATGGTGAAACCCTGTCTCTACTAAAAATACAAAAAAAAATTAGCTGGGTGTGGTGGCGCATGCCTGTAATCCCAGCTACTCAGGAGGCTGAGGCAGGAGGATCACTGGAACCCAAGAGGCAGAGGTTGCAGTGAGCTGAGATCACACCACTGCCCTCCAGCCTGGGTGACAGAGTGAGACTCTAGTCCAAAAAAAAAAAAAAAAAAAAAAAAGCTGAGTAATGAGTTTATGAGGATGTACTTTCTTTCTTTCTTTCTTTTTTTTTTTTTAACAGGTGTGAGTCACCATGCCTGGCTGGCTGAGGATGTACTTTCTACTTTAATATGTTTGGAAATTTTCTTAGTAAATTCTAAAAGGTATCCTTTTTTCTTTTTTTTTTTTTTTGAGACACAGTCTTGTTCTGTCACCCAGGCTGGAGTGCAGTGGCTGGACCTCAGCTCACTGCAAGCTCCGCCTCCCGGGTTTACGCCGTTCTCCTGCCTCAGCCTCCCGAGTAGCTGGGACTACAGGCACCCGCCACCTCGCCCGGCTAGTTTTTTTTGTATTTTTTTTTAGTAGAGATGGGGTTTCACTGTGTTAGCCAGGATGGTCTTGATCTCCTGACCTCGTGATCTGCCCGTCTTGGCCTCCCAAAGCCAAAAGGTATCTTATAAGCCTTAAAAATAAAACAACTACAGGCAACACATTCAAATAATACACATATATTTATGTATATATTATGAATATTTATGTAAATATTTATTATACATATACAATAACAATGCCAAGTGCTGAGGATTCAATGGTGGAAGAGAGAGACATGATCTATGCCCTCATTGAGTGTATAGTCTAGGCTACTCTTCTTTCATTTGTTAATAATTTTAAAGACAGCTTTTTTTTTTTTTTCAAGAGACGGAGTCTTGCTCTGTCCCCCATGCTGGAGTGCAGTGGTGTGATCTCGGCTTACTGCAATCTCCGCCTCCCAGGTTCAAGCAATTCTCCTGCCTCAGCCTCCTGGGTAGCTGGGACTATAGGCACATGCTGCCATGCCTGGCTTTTTTTTTTTTTTTTTGTATTTTAGTACAGATGAGGTTTCACCATGTTGCCCAGGCTCAGGCAATTCGCCTGCCTCGGCCTCCCAAAGTGCTAGGATTACAGGCGCGAGCCACTGCACCTGGTTTTTTTTTTTTTTTTTTTTTGAGACAGGGTCTCCCTCTGTCACTCAGGTTGGAGTGCAATGGCGCGATCTCGGCTCACTGCAACCTCTGCTTCCTGGGTTTAAGCGATTCTCCTGCCTCAGCCTTCCGAGTAACTGGGATTACAGGCGCATGCCACCGCGCCTAATTTTTGTATTTTTACAGAGACAGGGTTTCATCATGTTGGCCAGATGGCCAGGCTGGTCTCGAACTCCTGCCTCAGGTGGTCCACCCACTTCGGTCTCCCAAAGTGCTGGGATTACAGGCGTGAACCACCCACCTGGCAAAATGACAGATCTTTGAAGCCAGAAAAATGTGCTCTGGAGGCAAATTCTTCTGTGTAAAATAACCCCTCTTCCTTAGAGAAACAATTCTAATCCATCAACTGGCTCATTATATTTGTCAGAAATTTCTATTTGGATTTTTTTTTTCAGTGCTGCTGTTCTTAGAGTCTCCCTCCTCTTAACTCTGTCACTATTCCAAAATGGCCAGGCCAAGGGAAAAAGAGGCATAGTTACACAGCTCAAATGACCCATTTAGCAAGGCAGAGGTGAGACTCCCGTGGCTATCTTTTTGTCTCTATTCTGATACTCCTAGGAAAATTTAGGGAAGCATAAACGACAGAAGTGGCTACATTAAATCTTGTTTCTAATAAGAACAGATATAACAAGAATGTAATGGTTACCATTCTGATGCCAAATGCATAAGATAGAGAACTGTACTTCTGGCTTCATGTTCCATGAAGTAATTGAGCATTTAAAACCAAATTCACTTATGAGAAGCTAAGAGGAACTAACATTTAAATGGACTAAGATCTAGAAGGCTGGGATCAAGAGTGGGACATTACACACACAGAACAATGAATAAATGGTAAATGTACATGTGGCCGACTGGGAGGCAGTACTGACTCCTTCTCTGATTGTAGACACACTCTACAACATGTTAATTCATCAGAAATCCTGGTGCAGGTAAACTAGAATTTCTTATAAACAAGATCTTGTATATTATTACATATTTACATTTGGGCCTCCCTTGGCCCAAGTTTCCTGAATGTATTAGAGGCTCTTTTATTCTCTGTCAAGGCTCCAAGAATTTCTGGCAAGGCTCAAATACAAATGGCCTGGGAACAACTGAACTTTGTTTCTGACAATTTATCTACAACTCCTACACCAACCAGTGGCAACTGATTGGCTAAGTCAAAGCTGATAAAAGGAAAAATATAACTTTCATAAGTATTACCTATAATGCAAGTTACCAGGCCAAGTTAGAAGTGGGCTATAAGAGTTTCTTTGTAAGTGATATTCACTGCAAACATTAGTTGTCTCTTTTTCTTTTTTTTTTTTTTGAGATGGAGTTTCACTCTGTCGCCCAGGCTGGAGTGCAGTGGTATGATCTCAGCTCACTGAAACCTCTGCCCCCTGGGTTCAAGCAACTCTCCTGCCTCAGCCTCCCGAGTAAATGGGATTACAGGTGCCTGCCATTGCGCCTGGCTACTTTTTGTATTTTTAGTAGAGACGGGGTTTCACCATGTTGGCCAGGATGCTCTCAATCTCTTGACCTTGTGATCCACCCACCTTGGCCTCCCAAAGTGCTGGGATTACAGGCGCAAGCCACTTCGCCCGGCCAGCTGTCTCTTTTTAAAAAGTTTATTTTATAATATCAAAAGCATTTCAAATGTTTGGCTCGCCCTTGCTTACTCAAACTGTAACAGAAGTTCCCAAACCTAATGAGAAGGGCCCCAGCCATTTCATACTGACTTAGGCTTGAATACCATGCATATTTCAGATCCATTCAATTTTCAGCTTCTTTTTTGTTTTTGTGTTTCACTCTGTTACCCAGGCTGGAATACAGTGGGGTGTTCTGCAGCCTCTGCCTCCCGGGGTCAAGCAATCCTCCCACCTCAGCCTCCCAAAGAACTGGGACCACAAGTGCCCGCCACCATGCTTGGCTAATTTTTTGTATCTTTGGTAGAGATGAGGTTTCACCATGTTGTCCAGACTGGTCAATTTTAAGCTTCTTAAATGGAAGAATAGCACTTAAGAGTTCCTGGAATTTGATCACAGGCCTCTAGATAGTACCTACAGTATTAATTCAACACCTATCTCCTAATTAGAAGGATGAGATAAAAATCTTTGAAGAAAAAATTCTGAAATGTGAGGGGATAAACCCAAGACTTTATTTAAAGTTCCTTTTAGGTTGGGCGCAGTGGTTCACGCCTGTAATCTCAAAACTTTGGGAGGCTGAGGCAGGCGGATTGCTTGAGGTCAGGAGTTCGAGATCAGCCTGGCCAACATGGCAAAATCCTCTCTCTACTAAAAATACAAAAAAAATTAGCTGGGTGTGGTGGCGTGTGTCTGTAATCCCAGCTGCTCAGGTGGCTGAGGCAGGAGAATCACTGGATCCCGGGAGGAGGAGGTTGCAGTAGGTTGAGATCACGCCACTCCACTACAGCCTAGGCAACAGGGTGAGTGAGACCCTCAAAAAAAAAAAAGTTCATTTTAAGCTTCAAGATTCTAGGTTAATGAATTAAAAATCTATGTGCCACAGCCATAAGGAAAAGTCTAACGCCCATCCTGGTTTGAGGTTTATTTCATATTCCTCCACTGGAGATAAGATTAAGCAAAATGTAATAATTTAATTTATTAACACAATCAAATAAATTTAAAATGACAATTTTGTTCATAATACCCTAATTTTGAAAATGACAGCATTTCCAATGTTTCTTCAGTCTCCAGAACTTATACTGAAATCAATGACTGGAATAAGACAATTGAGATGCATTTCATTAATCAACTAAAGTTCTCCTTGAAAAGGACACTACTGAAGTACATTTTAATTGTCTGAACAAAACAATATCCTGGATTTTAAAACTTGGCAGCAATAGTAACTGAGCTTATATTTCCAAGAAACTA